CTAAAGTGGAAGTCAAAATACTTTTTTAGGGGATTCTTGTGAAGATTAAATGGGGTCGTCCAGAGGATCTAGGATTGTACCTGATCCTTTATAAACATTGCATACAACACCTATGCTCTGCCAACCCAAACTGAGAAGACTCGTGCATTGTTGCCTAGCAAACCACTTTTACACATCTTGCAACAAATCCTACTTGTCTGCAAATGCTCTGATAAAATAAAACTCATCCTTCACAATTAGAAAGTCAATGACGTCCACGTTCATGCATGCACTTCTCCCTGTAAATTGAGAAAATTGCCATTTTTATGTGCACCTGTGCAACCTAGTTAGATATATAAATATACATAACTCATATAGTCATTTAGAATACAACTTTTTCAAAGGCAATGACAACAGATCTCGTATTCTATAGTGATCTCAAAAGATGACATCACCCGGTGACATCAAAGCTGTCATAGTTTGTATAAATAAAATGCATGATGTTGGTACAATTACAAAATCACCTCACAGTGCATTTCTCAGAACTTATCCTGATTTTTCCATAGGCATGACTGTATATGAGACTACTACGCAAGTACTATTGTGGTTGGGTTTTGTTAGAGTGCGGCTCACTCACCAGTAGCTCATTCCTTGAATATCTCACATTTTTCTAAGCGTTTTTCCTTCCCAATGCTCTTGTCTCCTCCATTCATTTGTCTTTGTGTTTGCATTGTCTGGTAATTTGGATATTTTTATTTGAGATTATTTGGCCTGTGTCAGGTATTCTTCTCTACGGTCCCCAGAGTCTTGTATCTTGTTTTTAACTTCTTCTTTTTCCTTGCTCTCTTTTTATCAGATGTCATCCATTGTGCCTCGGTATTTTACCCTTGGGTGTTTCAATTATGCATGAATGAGATCTGCCTCACAGTCACATGGTTCCATTTTCAGCCTAAATAACTCCACACAAGAATGAAAGTCTTTGCATTTAACTTGAGGGACTCGCAGCTGGTCGCAGGTTTCATCTAGGCTCACGCTGGTTCTCTCCTAGGAGCGCTTTGGGGGTTGTGTTTAAATCATCTCTCCTCTGCATTCTCTCCGCTCTAGTTTCGACCAAATTTTTGCACCCAGGTCTTCTCAGTCTTCACGCCAATATTCCAGCTAAGTCTTTATTTCCATGTTTGCAAATTTGCTACCAGTGGTTGTCTTTGAGTTTCCTCTCAAATGAAAAGCACTTAATTTAGCAGCAGGTTCTCTAAAAGTCTTAAATCAATGCACAGTGTTTCAGCAATGCCAATAAATCACTATTCCTCTGTTAAGCCCCACAGTCTAAATCGGTCAGAATTTTTCAGGATTCAAACTTACCACATAAATCGTCTTTGCTAGTGCTAAAAGGTGTGTGTGCCTAAGGCAGATACAGAGAAAGGCAAAAAGGATGTTGCTCTGGGTTGGTTTCCTTTTGTGAAACATTGATCTGGCCATGCATATGAGCCCTCCATTCTCCCAGATTGCCTGCCTGAACCTGACCAGACTGACTTACGGCATTGCCCTGTACAGCTATGTGTTTCCAATAGTTAGCACAGTGCCTGGCCCATAGAGGAAATTTAAAATAAATTAATGAAGAAATAAACACAGGAATCATGAATTGTAAGGAGGTTCACTGTGACAAGAATCATTATGTTGTACATTTTAACTCAACAATGTAAATTAGGGAAGTAAACCTGAGGTGATCAATAAGGAAAAAAAAATGGACCCATGAAATCTGAACTAGAACAAGTTCAGTTGTCTTTTCTTGAGCATTATTCTTGCAGGTGATCTTCAAGTTTTATGTACAAAATGATTTTAAATACATGTATGCCATCTTTATGTTAGAAGACTCTGTCATTATTGATGCAATTGAAGTAACAGGAATACAAAATGTAGTCGTACATCACTTAAGAATGAGGACATGGTCTGAGGGACGCTTGAACAATTTCATTGATAGGCAAACATCATAGTGTGTTCACAAATGAAGACAACTGTGACATCAATGGGCATATAGCCCATGTGACCACCATGGTATATGCATTATCATATGGCATATCTTTAACTCCTTGCTCAACTGATTAAGGAATAATAAGCCATTCCGAGCCTTATTCAGGTTTTTTCAGTCCAGTGATGGCTTAATTCTCCTTACTCTACAGACTCCCAGACACTGGCCCACACGGCGTAAGTAATTCTTATGGCCACTCTATAGAGCCTCATCTGGATTTTCCCACCAATTTAGTTTAGGTGACAAACAAGCTCTGAAGTCAAGCAGTATGAGCAGTTTCTGGAGCTATTTTAGCTCTGTTGCATCCAAAGAGAACATCTTAAACAATCTGTGTCCAGCCCTCCAGTAGTGCCACGTGGCCACAGATCAACAGCCTGCAACATGAGGATGACATTGTGCATTTTTCATTGCATAGAAGAACACTCCTGCAACATCAGAGAAAGCATGACTAGAATTTAGAAGCAGTAGCATCAAACATAAGCAAGAAATTTTGTATGTAGATCGGCATTTCCAGACATTAGGCTTTCATAGCCCAGAAGATTTCAAAGTATTTTTAAATAAACCAATATAAAGCTATGAACTTTTAAATTAAAAAAAATGAGATTTTAAAAATATAAACACATTGTTGTTGCTGCTGTTATCATCAGCAGCATTATTTTGATACGAGGGATTGAACTTAGAGGCACTTTACCACTGAGCCACATTTCCAGCCATTTTTTGTTTTTTATTTTGAGACAGGGTCTCGCTAAGTTGCTTAGGGCCTTGATAAATTTCTAAGGCTAGCCTCTATCTTTCGATCCCCCCTCTTGAGTTGCTGAGATTACAGGCCTACACCACCAGATTTAGCTCATACATTATTATTAATCACTGCTATCATGAAGAAAGAGTATATTAATAAAAAAAAGATAGGAAGGGCATCGTTTCAGGAGTTCTTAAAGTTGAAGTGTCCTTATTTTTCTCTAGGTTGGGCTCTGTGGCCTCTGAAGGCTTCCCGTCTCGTCCTCTTCAATCACAAATCTCTTGAGGAGATCTAGCTATTTGGATCTTCCAGATATTTCTGTTCCATTCTGGGTAGTGCACAATGGAAAGGTTTAGACTTCCTCTGCATCTTTGATTAACCAAATAAAAGTCGACATTGAAAGTAAGCATTCAAAATCCCCTCGGTCAGTACCAGAGTGACTCCTCTGCCTTGTGTAAATCCACAGACAATAGCACCAAGGAAAAACCCTGGGAGAAAGAAACACAAAATGAATGCCAACTCAAAACCGAGTTTTGCTTACCTACCAGGTAAATCTTTTCTCTTAAGAGACTTCATTGTCATTCAAACTGGTCAATGATTACTCTGGAGTCTACGTATCCAAAGATAATGAACAGGATGTTCATCTGTGGTGTGATCAGCAGAGCTTCTAATGGGACACGGATGAGGAACAAAGTAAATACAAATCAACAAACAGATGACTTGAGAGAGAACAACACTGTCTCTCTGGGGAATGTTGCTTTTAAAAAAAAAAATCATCCTGCTCCAAGACTGGGTATAAGAGATATGATTATTAGTTAAATCGTCTTAATGAAATATACAGACCTGTGTGCTCTTAGATAGATAATTCATGTGCAATTTTATTATCTCTCAAGGTTTAATTAAATATTTGCCTTTTGGCTAATCAACAGTAATTAATAAGAGACGTTTATATTCATACAACTTATAAGAAATGTTGGCGTGGCCTCCACTGGAATTTGAGGGGTATTCTGTATGAAAAGTGGGGGTCAGCAATGACATGCTGAAGGTCTGCCTGGCTGGAAAGGAGAGGGAAATAGAACCCACAGGATGTTTGACTGTGTGTGGACACGTGCTAGTTGTGGTTTATAAAATGAAATCTGTCTTGTAGTTCTCATCCCTGGTTTGGTTGCTGTTCTTCCTGATTGCTGGCACAGAGTTCCTAAAGCTCATAATTTCCTGGACAATAGGGATGGTAGGAGGATATTTTGTTCCAATATTTGAACTTGGACCCTGATTTCTGATGCAGAACTTCCTCAGAACTTCCCTGGGAGAAAAGAGTGTGTTTGGTTTGAATGAGAGCACTCTTGGTGGGCTCCTGGAGAAGAGCTCATCACCAGGAAAGCCAAACCACGGTGAGAAGTTTGGAACTTTCATCTCTAACACCTGCTCCCATCCTTGGGAGAGGGGCAAGGCCTGGAGATTGAACTAATAACTGATCATGTCTATGTACTGAAGCCTTCACAAAACTCCCTGAGGTAGAGGGTTTGGAGTGCTTCCTTTTGGGTTGCTAAATACTTGGAGGTGCCCATAGGATGGTACACCCAGGAAGGGCATGAAAGCTCTGTGCCCCTTCCCATGTATCTTGCCATATGCTTTTCTTCCATCTGTCTCCTTTGTAATATTCTTTATAATAAACCGATAAATGTTAAGTCAACAATTTCCCTGAGTTCTGTGAGTCACACTAGCAAAAGGTCAAACCAGAGGGGGTGGTTATGGGAACCCCAACTTACAGTGGATTGATCAGAAGTTCCAGAAGCCCAGACATGGGACTGGCATATGAAGTGTGTATGTGTGCGGGTGTGTGTGGGGGGGGGTTGTCTTGTGGGACTGAGCCCTTCGTCTGTGGGATCTGACCCCAGCTCTAGGTAGATAATGTTAGAATGGAGTTGAACTTCAGGACACCCAGGTGCTATTTGCTAAATAGTTGCTTTTGGTATAATCTCCTCCATATACATTTTGGTGACCCGAAGTGTCATGATGGAATTATCATAGAAGAACATAACTTGTTTTTTTCCCTGTACTGTTTATTATCTATGCCTTCTACCAACTGGATGAGATTGATCTGCCTTAATCAAAGTGTATTCATATAAATGTTGATTTCATCTAAAAAAAATGCCTTCATAGCAACATCTAGACTTGAGTTTCACCAAATATCTGGGTAACCTGGTCTAGCCAAATTGACACAAAATTAACCATCACAGACTGAGACCAAAAAAATTTTTAAATGAGAATGTTTATTTTAAAATCAAGGATTTGAAACAGATGACTATTCCGCCTAGATAGATGTGATAAATACTTAATAAATAAACACTCTTCTTTAAGGATGACACTTCTCTGCATAGAATTCAGAGAAGAAATTTGGATTGACAGGAAAAAGTCATAATGGGCAATTGATCTGGAGTCATCTGAGTCGCAGGAATGTCACCATGTGTTTTATGGATGGACATGCACTTGTGGCAACTAAAACATGCACAGTTGTCACCCAGTAAAGCATAGAACTGCAAGGCAAGAGAAAAGGACGCTTATTAAAAACATAAAGAACCAAGAGTGTCATTTGTTTCATAACTTGTCATAAAATAAATGATGACTTTTTGATCCTCAACTTGGTGCCATTTCATGCAAGCAAGGTGACTACTTTTAAGGCCTTAGTCTCTCAAGAGAATAAAAAGTCAAGGGAAGAGGAGAATCATGAATGACAATGAATGACATTTATACCTTGTATGTTTGGACAGTGGTAAACCCTTTGGGTATACAAGAAGAAACTCTGACTAACCCTCTGGCAGAAATTCATTTTTCAATTATTTTAAACCATCTGATGCTTCATTAAAAATAACTTGAAACAAAGAAATTCTTCAATTATAGTTCACAATAAACAAAGATTTGGGAGAAGAGGGAAAAGCCCGGGCACTATATAAAATTTATCCAGAGCATCTCTGATTTGGACATCAAGTTTATCAGAATACTTTTGAAAAAGTAATTCTAGTGCTAAAGAAAATTTAAAAGTCACTGTTGATGCTGTTTCTTCATTCAGAGGTGCTGAAATTATTTGTATATTTATGAAACGGACAGAGAAGCCATGCTGAGGCAGGGATCTGGCATCCATCCTCTGTTGACCCTCTGCTGTGGGCAGGTAAGTTTGAGAAAAGGCCCTTGATGCTTCTGCCTGATACAAGATTTGGCCAGATAAAGATGCCTCTGTATGACACCTTTTCCTCCAGGGACTGCAGCTCCAGCTGAGGTACAAGGCAGACAAGTGGAAACGAGCTGGATTTCAGTCCCCATTTCACACCCCTTTCACGTGGGAGCCTTTATATGAGATCTGAAACACACACACAGTGGATCGTTGATCCTGAGCTGATGTAACACAGGGGTCTGAATAAGATATTTACTATGACCATATTTGAATGGTAAATTAAATCTGGTAGCTTTCTTTCCTATTTCTGCTACTGGATTTGATATCAAGTATTGTAATACCACCTTAATAAGTTGAGTTACAAATCCTTCTAACAAAGAGAATATCAACTCATACAGAAACACAGAAATAGACTGGGCAAAAGTCTATTTTTAACTTCCACATTTTGCTTACCTTTCTTAAAACCCACACCTTAAACAGTCAGGAAGGAGACAGATGGATGTTCTTTAAGATATGGGAAAAGAGTCATCCAAAGATTCACCTGTCCATGAAGAATGAACTAATGCTGAATGGCAATTATCAAGAATACAAGCAATATGGCTCAGGAGGGTGAGACAGGAGAACTGTGAGTTCAAAGCCAGCCTCAGCAAAAAACAAGATGCTAAACAACTCAGTGTAGACCCTGTCTCTAAATAAAATGCAAAAAACAGGGCTGTGGATGTGGCTTAGTGGTGGAGTGCCCCTGAGTATAATCCCCTGTATCCCCTCCCCCTAAAAAGAATACAAGTAACAACAAGTGTTGGCAAGGATGTGGGGGAAAAGGCACACTCATACATTGCTAGTGGCACTGAAAATTGGTACAACCACTCTGGAAAGCAGTCTGGAGATTCCTTTTAAAAATTGGACTAGAACAATTATTTGACAAGCTATCCAACTCCTAGGTCAATACTCAAAGGACTTAAATTCAGCATACTATAGTGACAATGCCACATCAATGTTTATAGCAGCTCAATTCACAATAGCTAAACTGTGGAATCAACGTAGATACCCTTCAATAGATGAATGGATAAAGAAACTGTGACATATATACACAATATCTCAGCCTTACTACTACTCAGCCTTAAAAGAGAATAAAATTATGGCATTTGCAGGTAAATGGATGAAGCTGGAGAATATCATGCTAAGTGAAGTAAGCCAATCCCAAAAACCAAAGGCCAAATGTTCTCCCTGATAAGTGGATGCTGAGCCATAATGGGGGCAGACATGGGAAGAATGGAGGAATTTTGATTGGGCCAAGGAGATGGAGGAAAGGGAAGGAGGTGGGAGTAGGAAAGAGGGTATACACTAGCCTAGGTACATGTATGACTGCACATATGGTGCAATTCTACATCGTATACTACCAGAGAAATGAAAAACTCTGCTCCATTTGTGTACAATGAACCAAAATGCATTCTGCTGTCACGTATAACTAATTAAAACAAATAAAAAAGAATGATGCTTCATATATTTAAATTTCTATCTTTGATGCTAAGATAAGTGCCTTTTGAACTGCATATTATGACGGCTGGAAACGGTACACAGTAAACTGCTGTGCACGCAACCTAATTTCTGTGCATTATCTTGCATACTACCTCTATTAAATATTATGTTTATAAATAAAAAAAAAGAATGAGCAGTTGTTTAAAATATTTCTCCTTATGGTCATTTTGGGAGATCTCTTCCTTCTCCTCAGCACCACATCTATCCTTTTCAGGATTAGAAAGTTGCTTTTTGACCTGGCTAGCAGGAGAAACAAGTGGACGAGGAAGTGACTGATAACCCAAGGTGGTGGCCGAGTCACAAGAGCAGCACTCACTTGGAAGAATAGGAAGAAGTGGTTTTAAAGATCTAGGGACTAGAACCATGTAGGATTGAGAGTGTGGGACTAGAAAAACAAAGTCCAGAGAAGATGGGCTCAGTGATAGTCACAGGAAGTTCTCTAACACCAAGAGTGAGAGATCATGAAAAGGAAGTGGGATAAGTTAACAAACTAAGAAAACACTCTTTAGGTCTCTTTGTCCTTGGGCAAAGAGTGTGTGTGTGTATGAGAGAGAGAGAGAGAGAGAGAGAGAGAGAGAGAGAGAGA